CTGAATACTTGCATGTGCTGTATTACACAAAACAAAAGTAAGATGGCTTAGTGCAAGATGTGTTTTCGAGAAAGTTTGGCAACTGATTAATGAAATTGTGCCATTCTTCAATGAGAAACATTGTTCTGTAAAGTGTGAAATTTTAAAATATACTGTATAGCATCAATTAATTTAGAAAGCAATCACAAAAAATCAGAGTCACATTTGCAAATTTTCACAGGACTAGTAAGTGATTAGTCACAGGATTTAATTTATATTAAGATACAGCATGGTTTTCAACTTAGCATTTTTCACATTTCTTTGTCATATGAACAATTTAAATGTCAAAATGCAATAGTTATGAAGATAGCCTGAAAAAATCTGCATTTTGAGTCTGATTTTGAGGTTAAACACAGATTTCAATGCAATTCAAATGTAACTAGAAATTTTCCGCATGCTTTGCATTATAAACTATGAAGCCGTGAGACCACATTTGCAACTTGAAGTAATTTAGTAACAGTCTAACAATCACTTGAAGCAGTTGTTTCTCAGTGTTCCAAAATTACAGTTGTTCAAATCATTATATAACTACATATACATGGGAATAACAAAAAGTAGTAAAATTTATCACAGATCTGCATACATTGGTTGACTCTTTTCTTTTGATGATATTCTTAGCATATGCTAAGAACATGATGCTGTTACAAAATGCTGGTTATCAAAATTAATCTCCAAAATAGATAACTTATTTATCTTGATAATTTCAAAATATTTTTCTATTCAACTACATAGAGATAATCAAATGAAGAAAATTCCCAAAGCCTGTGGAAACTATCCAACATTACAAAAAAAATCATAAAACAACAGTCTCCTATTCAACTTATATAAACAAAGTAATTGTTCAACTTTACACAATCCTAAACAAGTCTTTTAACTGAAGACTAACTTTATATCTCTGGTCAATGCAAAGTTTTGTAAATGCTTATATTACAAATATTTTCAATAACACATTAAAAACACTTAAAAATAAATAGCAATGTCTCCGTAAAATAATGAAACAAACATGAATGCCAAAGTGAAGACTAGATGTCATGCCATAGTCATTTGAAATAAATTGTATTGACACACATTTCACTTTGGAAAGAAGAAAGTCCATCTCTAAAAAGATGTTTGGAAACTTATAAGAAATGATCAGCAAATTTACCTTAAAATGGACGTAAATCAATGCTGTATACATTACTGCATTTTAGAATATCCAAAATGAGAATGAAAAAGCAATATTTTCATTGATTTTTAGGAAATAGCATATGCTGTTGACAAATTCATATGTAAACTAGGATAATTCTAGTTCCAGGATATCGTTGAAATTATTTCTCCTTATAACAGATGTGGGAAAAAACCAGCACTTGCAGCATTCTAGACCTTTCATCAGGCCTGATGAAATTAAACGCAGCAACATCATTTTCTTCTGAATGATGCATTCAGGTGTATGAGAAAGGCAGATGAAACACTTCTCAGAATGTAACTAGTATCATAAATGAGTCGTAAATGCTTTGCTTATATTATGCCAAGCAGTAATAGCTTTAGGGGCCATGACAGTGTGATGGCCCAAGATACTGAGTACTGAAGATTCAAACTAGGGTCAAACTACCAGTATCCAGCAACTGTATTGCTGAACTGCTTGTGAACTGGAACAAAAGTATGAATATCTTGTTAGTGAAACCCATAACGTAAGAAAAACGGCACACTTGATAAAATGTTCAAGATTAATGGTCGATTTTGTTATGAATCCCATGGTTCTGACATGTTTTAAATATACTCCTTCCACACGGATAGAAGCTGAATGATCATTGTCCTGCTTACTACAGATATAACCTTTCAATGTATAATCTGAAGGAAAGTTTAGGTTATTCGAATATGGCAAAGCATACCGGCTGTTGACCTGAAGAAGGATGTCTTTATGAACATTCTAAGGGAAACTGGCTTGTATTTGCATTACATATGAGGAAAACTAGAAAAATCAACCATGCAGCCAGCCTTTTAACCATGATATGAACACAGATCAAACTACCAGTATTCAATGGTCTTAACCACTAGTAGGAAAAATCTAAAAAAATGCTTGCAATATCATGCAATCAGAAATTCACTAAATGTTGCACAGCAGGATTACTTTTTCAAGTGTCGAGGATGAGAATACTTAATTTTGTTTTGTTTATATAGGTATTTGGTCATGGTATTATTCATTACATATATTCTCTGTTGTTCATACAGATACTAATATTTTAGTACATTTAAAAGTGTCTTTTTCATTAAGTGCTTTGCTTGTCAATATTCCCAAAATTGTGTTTCATATGTTAAGTGCTACTGTACATATAATAGATTAATGGATTCATTACAGAATAATACATTTCAAATATCCATTTTATGCAAGCAATTTTCAAAGTTATTTTTTGAATTTACTTGCTGATAGCTTAAAATATTTTATTTTGAAACAACTGCCTTTTTCACAATAAACTGGACATTGCCAAGAATCTTCAATAATATTCAAATCCTTTAGAGTAGCATTGTAAATAAAACTATAAGAACATTATACATCTTTCAAAAGTGAAACTTTGATTAATTACTCAAAGCAGTGGTTTACTAACTTTGATGACCAATAAAAAATCTTTAAAAAAAATTTTTTTTTAAATCTCATCTCAGAGAACCAATAATACTTTTTTTTTATTCATTATTACTTCTTTATTTCATTCTAATCATCTATCATATATAAACACCTAGCATCTTCTGAAAGGTAATTGCTAAGATACATTAAAAATATGTCAAATTTTTTAAGCATGAAAAGTGATGTAATTCTATATATTTTAGATAAAAATAAGAGTAATAAAAATAAAAACTTTAGTTAATTATTTAAACCTTATATTATTGCGGCCCACGTTAATCATGTTTTAGGACTCGGGTACCCTATGGTTCTGAGTGTTTAGTCTTTTAATTATTAAGAACACAGTCATACTACTCTAAACAGGCCTGTTACCAATTATCAATCAGCCCCCCCCCTCTCCGCCGTAATTTCACCTGCTCATCCGGTAGTGATGCACCACCAGCCAGCGGCAAAACGGAGCACGCACAGAACATACGAGAACAGATTCGTTGTCTAAGCGTTTGAAGAATCAGGTTGCTACCTACGACCACCGAATTCGCCGGTTTACCAACTTTGAACTGTTATCGCCAATTTTGGCGATGTTTACATTTAACGGATCCTCTGCGGAAGTGCTTCCCACAAATTTAACAAAAGATTCATGAGAACCCCATTCAGTTCACCACTGATTGTTATTTACATAGAGGAGCCAATATTATACCAAAAATGATGGTATTATTTGGCTAAAGTGCAGAATCGCCCACTTATTTTTTTGGCGCTTTTTACAAGAGTAAGAAGAATTGGATTTTTTGTCAATTTTCTTCGACTTTTTAAGTGAAAATAGGTTGATGTGTACATGGATAATGAGTATGTGCAATCCTTAAAAACGTGCCAAGCAGTGGGTGATTCTGCACTTTTACCTATTATTTATCCATAGGGTGGAAAAAAAAAAAAGAAAAAAAAAAAAAAAGATTGAAAGCAACTTTTTATTCAATAACCTTGTATGAATTAAAAAAAGTATCAATGTAATATCACATGAGACCAGAACAAACCTGCTACTATTGATCACTTATGTACTACATAAACCCATGCATATATGATACATTAGCATGCTTCATGTTCCACTCATGCCTCAGATAAAATAAAGTAAATAAAAAGATCATCACCATATATATATACCAGTACTGTATTTGAAGGCAAGAAGATGATTTTTTATGTAGAGGTGAGAAGATGGCAAAACATACAAGGTCAATAAATCAAAAAACGATGCATTTATAACAGATTTTCTGTGAAAATGTAGGAACATATCTCATATTTCTATGGGAATTTTGTCACTTAGATTTTGCAGAGAAGAAATTGAACATCCATATAGACAGCTAGTACCATAAGCAATTACATTCTGGATGATACTGTTGATGATCAATGATTTGAAATGCAATACAATCGACAAGCACTAAGTTAGTTCATCTGTAATACACAGCACCAGATACTTCCTTTCAAATTACTGTTATGAAAATCAGCTAGGATCATTCATTTACATGATTATCATCAAATTATTCATACGATTATTTTACGTTAAAAACTGATGATAGTTTAGCAATAAAAATACATAATACACAATTACAATATATATTTTCAATTTAAAATAAAATAATCATAACTTGAATTACTTACGTAAAATATAAAAAGATAAAATTCCCAATAAAACAAATTTAAAATTTATTCATAAATTAATTCGTAAATCCTTATATTATGACTTGAATTCTGCGGACTGACGAGACCGAAGAAATGAATTTTGCACCAAGGATGATTAGATTTCATGAGGTCGAGATCAACAATTTAACGACAGAACACTCAGGTGATTAAATATAGTCCTCTGTACAAGCAAGATAAGCTGTCAAATTCTGAGCCCTTGTCGAATTCTCCATTTAAAACATAATAAATTCGCTTTCTTGACACGTATAGTCTACCACCTGACAGCAGAATGATCCCGTAAGTAAACACAGCTGCTCACACAGAATCATCATTCAAAACGTTCATGAACCACACATTTATGATCTCAGAAATTTACTATGAAATAATTAGTAATAAGAAGTTATTTAATGTTTGCTATATTTTAGTTCATCAAAATTATAAAAAAGACAGTAAAACTTAACGAAATTTAATTCAATTTTAGTAATTATTTTATTATATTGCTAAAGTCGGTTATTCATTCTTATTACAATAAGTATTTATTTATGTTTTACATATAATTTATTTCATTTCTTATTTTTGGTTTTGAAAAATATGTTAAAAGTCATAGCATCTACGGAATGTATCTTATTCATGTAACTGGTGAAAATAATACTGTTAATGTGGCAACGCCTCTTGTCCTCCCGCGCGCGAACTGCGAAGTCTGTTAATGTTAATGTGATGTTGATATTTTGTGAATTATGTGTATTCAGAACTAAGTGTAATTTTAAATTTTAATTATGTTATCATTTTAACGTTTTTAAAAATAAAAGTAACTTATATTTTCAATTTCTGTTTGAAAAATAAAAGTAACTCTTTTATCTTCAATTTCTGTCTCCTGGAGCGGCTAATATGAAGAAATCAGCCGCCCCTAGTTTCCGATCTGGAATTAAGCGGATGCGCTTTTTAACTCCATTTCTTAAAGTCGATATTGATAAAGAAAACGAATTCTTCGAAAATTTGGACCACAAAACTGTTAAAGATTCCAATACTATACAATCGGCGAATACTACGGTCATACCGACTTTGTCTAAGTCAAATAAGCCATCAACAAGTAGCTCAGAATCAATGTTTCAGAATGTAAGTTAGATTCATTGTCAGTTCAAATGCCTGCATTTTTATCTTAATATTCGTATTCTGGAAAATAATCTTTTAAGGCTATAACTTGCAATTATTTTTTTTTTTTAATGTGAAAATAACAAAAATAGCCAACTGAAATCATTTCATAAAATTCCAAAATTTTTTCATTTTAATTTATAGCTAATAAGAATTAGCGTTTTTGAAATTGCTGTAAATTGTCTAAATTGTATGCAACAAAAGGAGAATTAACCCCCAGAAAATCACGAATGTCAAATTCAGTAGAAAATGATATACAAAAACAGGGGATTAACATAATTATTATTCCAACTGTCAATTAAAATAACAAGAGAAGAAAAAATTGCCTTTCGAAACTTAACTCTTAAACTTCTGTGAAATGACTTGGATGTTCTAAGAAACTGAAGCAGCCTGAGAATAGAGAATATCAAAAAATAACTTTCTTTCTAATTTAATCCTAGAAAGCTTCATTTGTAAATTTTACATCACTTGGCACATTTTGTAAAATAAATTTTATGAATGGTTATCTTCTGTTAAAGTTATATCTCAATTATCTTTTAGTGGGAATAATTTACTTGTTTTAAAGTACACTTTTTTGATAAATATTATATATTAGCTGTAGTTTTTGGCATTAATTGCTATATTGGCAAGAAGTATGAAGGGTATATATGATAAACATGAAATTTTTCTCAAAATTTTTTTTCCTTTCAGTGAAGAGAATGAAGCCGAGGAAAGACAAGAAATATAAGCAAAAATTTTTATATGAGAGTTATTTCATCGTAAGTCCAAAGAAAGTGGAATTTTGGCAAAAATGGATGCAGATGTGATGATAATAACAACATGATAATATTTCAAAGACATGCCATAGTACAGTATTGCTGCTAGAAATATGTGTATGTAGTACAGGGTCCAAAGAACAAAAAAACACAGCTAATTCAATGGAATATTTTACATTGGTAATTATTAGTGACATACTTGAAATCATTATGATAGCCACCAATTCGGAGATATGTGAAAAATGTACACAGAAACAGGGTACTATTCGGTTTCGAGGGCCGTAAAAAATCACCAAATTATTGTTGATGCCAATGCTGCCAAAAAGAATTACCGCAACCCTAATAACTGCGGCAAAAAAGGAAGTATAATAGTAAATAACTATCTAAGATTGATGTTTTAATTTAAATGAAAGGTTAATTTCATATAATACTTTATTATTATTATTATGGAAGCACTTTCGCAGAGAACCTGGTAAAAGTAAACATCGCTGACTTTGGCGATAATAGTTCAAATCTGGTAACCCAGAGTATTTATCCTATTCGCTTGTTTGAAGTTTGCAACTATTCCTCTTGTGTTCAAATTTTGTTGGAATATCACTGTCGTTGTTTGCATTTGCAAATTTATATTATTCTTCTCTTATTTATTATTTTTCCCTGAATTTTTAACAACGAATAGATTGATAGATAGAAATATTTTCGTATAATTAAAAAGAAGTTTTCGTCAATAGATGCCGGTTGTCGGCTCGTCAGTTTGGCATCAAAGGAAGAAAATATGGTGGGAGGGGTGAATGCTAATTTGTAACACGGCTGTTCACATTGTGTTCTTAATTATTAACAGCTGTAAGATCATGCGCAGAACCATGAGGTTTCCAACCCCTAAAATAATTTGTTTTCGTAGGCCGCAAAAATGTGCATGTGCATTTTAAATAATTAAGTAATGCTTTTATTTTTATTATTGTCATCTAAAATTATGAGAATAAATCAATTTTTACGGTGTAAAATTTTAACAAGATAATATATTGTTAATGCTTTTCTAACAATAACCTTTCAGAGAATGGCAGGTGTGACATAAATAGATGATTTAATTGAAACAAAAAATATTACTGATTATATAAGATGACAGAATAGTTTGATGAATCGCCATAGTCATCAAAATTAGCAAATCACTACTGGTGGAAGGAATATATTGTTTTCTGAGTTAACTGTAATTTAAGACAAATTTTTTCGTATATCACGTTTAACCAGTTAATTTCATTATATTAATACTAATTTATGTTTTTTAAATGAATTTTTAATTCCGTTATAAATGCTTCTGTGCTAACTTCAATTTAATACAAATTTATTTTCGTATATCTCGTTTAACCGGTTAGTTTTACATCTACATGTGTATTATCTGTGAATTTTTACTACCATGTGCTTAATATATTGTTTTGCCTGCTAACTTGAATTTACAAGCACTAAAAATCACGTTTACGGCTGGGCTCATCGTTGATGAACCGCGAGCTTGGTGAGTAAAAGTGCAATGCTGCCAACGGGTTCTCTGCGGATGAAAACCCATTATTATTATTTTATTATTATAATTTATATGAATAAGGCTAAACATGACGGAATGGAAGCATAAGAGTAAATAACTATTTCAAATCATTATAATAATTTATATAAAAATTGCTAAACATGACTGAATGGATGTCTGCATCGCTATTTTGCTACCGACTTATCGCTAAAGCATAATTTCATCTTGTTGGTTGTTCAAACATAATTTTTTATAATGAATGTTGCCTTTTCTTTGAAAATATTCTCGGTAAAGTGCAGAATCGCTCAGTTATTTGTTTGCCGCTTTTTACAAGTGTAAAAGCAATTGGATTTTTGTCAATACTTTTTAAGTGAAAATAGGTCGATGTGTACATAGATAAAGTCAAGGGTGTGCACAGTGCCATTTTTGTGCAATACTAGGATTTTGTTTTAAGTGAAAATAGGTCGATGTGCACATGAATACCGAGTATGTGCAATTCTTAAAAATGTGTCAAACAGTGGGTGATTCTGCACTTTACCCAAAATTCTATTGCCGACTTTTCGTCATGTGCAATTCCCAAATTGTTAAATCCATAGGATATCAAAAAAGGATTTAAAAATTAAACTAGTATTTCAATGGCGTCTCAAGAAATATAGAACTATATAAACTTACGCAATCGGAAATCAACGCGTATGCTAGATTTGGTGCGCTGTTAAATGGGCATGTTTGCTAGATTTGGCGCTTTTGCGCATACAATTTCGCTGCAATTTTCTTACGGCTCTCAAAACAGAATAGTACCAGAAACGGTAATAACAAATTCATATTCTATTTCAGAAACTAATGTTCTTGAAATAAAAGCTCTGATAGGTATTGTACTTCCGATTGACTCTAAGTGATGATAATAGGATGATGATATTTTTCCATTAATCTTCTGATACAAAATATTTTTTGGAAAATTTTAAATTAAATCACATTTTGAAGAAAGTTGTTAGTAGTGAGTTTTTTAAGAATGATTAGCTTCAACATTTCTCTGTAGTAAGGTTAGCTTTCTAGGATTAAAGATTCTAGGATTTGTTACTTAAATTATTAATTTCTAAATACACATTTTTATCACATAGAAGATCATTAAGTAATTTAAGTTGGTGAATTTAGTTATTTATAGCTGAGTAGAAAAAATGGTTGATCTTTGGATTATGGTAACTTGGCGATTTTTTGGCAAAAATTTGGTGACCAACTCTGCTACAGCAACCCTCTATTTTTTTTTCACTGCCATTTTGTCTTCGCGAAGTAAAGACATGTTTCTTTTCTTTTTATTTACTCAACACTTTTTCCAACAATCTACTAGCCGAATTACACTTATGCTAGAAATTTTATGTAATAAAACTGCTTAATCATGACAAATATTAACTGCAAAATTGGGAAAAAGTGCACAATCGCAAACTCCTTGTGGCGTTTTTTCAGAAGAGCACACATACACATAAACCATTTACACGTCGACTTATTTTTACTTAAAAAAACATCCCAGAATTGCACAAAAATGGCATTGCGCACACTCTTCACTATATCCATGTACACTGCTTTTTTGTCATAAATTAGAAAAATTTCACGAAAATTTTGTGAATCTTTAAATCCGGTAAAAAGAACATATATGAAATTACCTGATCGCGAAGAAGTATATACCCTTTCCAAGGATGAACATTTTCACGTATAAAATAAATAAAATATCCAAAAACTTTTACCTCTAAATTATCTATTATATTATAAACGTCACCAATGAATTTCTACCACAAACATTAAAAATGGTTACAAATACTTAGTGTCAAATATTTAAATTATTTCCATGCACGTTTATTTCAACTGAAACGTATACCAAATTGCTACAAACATAAAATTCACAAAATAACTATCATTTAATTAAAATATAACTAAACCATGTACAGGTCGACTTATTTTTACTTAGAAAAACATCCCAGAATTGCACAAAAATGGCATTGCGCACACTCTTCACTATATCCATGTACACTGCTTTTTTCTCATAAATTAGAAAAATTTAACGAAAATGCATGAAAATACTCAACGTATGCGACTCAAACGTATTCCAAAATACTACAAACATATAACTCACAAAATCACGATCATTAAATTAAAATATAATTAAATTAAAAACACACCATTAAAATATAAATAAGCACGTATATTAAATTAATAAAAATTAGATTACAATCCTAATTACTTTTAAACTAAATCATTGCTAATAACAATTTTCAAATAATCCATTTTAATTTTTTTATTTACTCCTTACACTTAGAACAATGCATAAAAATAATATCCTCAAATGATTATAAATACTAACTTACCTAATCTTCTTCAGAATCTTCATTACGTCGCTGCAGTACTACTGCTAATTTCTAAATCCTAAATCCAGTAGTCAACTGGAAGTCTATTCACCAAGTAATAAGAAATTAATAAAATTTCACCTATACTCAAACTACTTTCAGTAAACCACGTACCCTTCCTTACACTCCGTTTCACAAAATGTCCATTTTCACCAGATTTCTTGCACCGCTATTCAAACTTATCTGTAATATCCTTTCTTTCACACAATCTCAACTTATTATTATTATCAGATAAACGCATTAAAAATTTAGAATTCACTTTACATAGTGCCATGCAATCCGAAAATTAATACTATTTCACACAATACACAATGAAGCTTAATGCAAAATAATATAGTACTACAGATATTTTTCCAAATTTACACCCTTTTCCGATTAAAGAACTGTATTTCGTCCATTAATGTCACGTGACATATCTCATGATCTCTCATTTCCTTCACACAAAATAATGCGTAATCGGAACTGAGTACTTCTCACATTATTACCAAAGTCCTAGGTAGTAACCTTTATCGCCTCCAAAATTTCGCCAAACTACCTGTTACCATATTCCAAAGATCAGCCGAAACAATTTTCCGTGGAAGATACATTTAATATCGTTGATGATTGTGGAACTTAGTTATCTGAATTCATATAGTCTATTAAAATATTTGTCATAATTCAAAAGAATTCTCTGGTTTGATTACTAATTTTCAAAACTGTTATTAACTTTCAGGTTACATCATTGAACTTTTATATTAAAGGAGAATTTATTTAATATATAAAATTTTTAATTTCTAAACTACAATTAATTCATATCTTTTATTTTATTTTTAGAGTAGTACATCCACGTGTGTAAACAAAGATACTGAAAGCAATGTTCGTAGTGATGAGGAAATTTTGAAACTTATTTCAGAAGTAGATGAAGGAAAATCAAATAGTGTAAATGCAATAGAAACAACATCAACAGCTAATTTCCTAGATGATGCTAGGACTGAATGCTTATTTGAACCATATATGTTTTCCCAGAATATTAATATCTCATCAATATTGGGTGTTTTAAATCACAGAATAAATGAATATAATTCTGAATTTCCGAAAGAATCAGGGTATATCTCAGAGTCAAAAAATAAAATTGATGCAGTTTTGGACCCTTTCCAGCATCCTGAAAATATTCAAGGAAAAGGAGATTTGGATTTTCAAAGAGTTTCTTCTCCAAAGTCCTTTGAAATTGATGCAGTTTTGGACCCTTTCCAGAATCCTGAAAATATTCAAGGAAAAGGAGATTTGGATTCTCAAAGAGTTTCTTCTCCAAAGTCCTTTGAATATAAAATTTATAGTGTATTGCATTGTAAACGATCTTCCAAAAAGGTAATATTTTTCACGAATCAAATAATATTTTATTAATTTAATTTATATATCTAATCTTATGCATTTTCTTGGCATTGTTAAAAATCAGAATATATAAAACTAATAATATTTATTCAACTTACCTTTCAGCACAAAATTTGGGAAGGCGATGGTAAGTAAATGATTGTTTTCTCTTTTATGATATTAGTTTGCATTATAAAATATATATATGTAGGACAAAAAATATGAAACCAAACTTCTAATTTTAATTGACTATAACTTCTTTTATTTTTTTATTTATTTATTTATTTTACTTTTTATCTTAAAAATAGCACTGTAGGTCTAAATTGCGTCCACTTAATGCAGATGTCTCTTTCCCAATCACTAAATAATTACAAACCAAAATTTTTTAATTCAAACTGAAACTTTTTGATCCCCTCTCTTCATCTTCTGAATTGCTGTGACACTTTCGCTTACGCTCTCCTCCTGGCCAGATGCTTTGCGGATACTATCTTTGCTCACTAAATAAGTATCAAGCTAACAAAACTGTAGGGCCCATCAGACGGCTGTCCGTGTGCGAACCAAATATTGTGTATCCCGAATTGCTTTCCTCAATAATAAAATTATCTTGAATCCGGCCATGTCTGTCTTCCCGTGTTTCTTCGCTCATCTTTAGCTATCTGTACAATTCCATTCAACATTCATGTGGTCTATCATGTCCACAACTGGTGTCAGTTCTGTTGTAATCCTGACTGTCGGGACTTCGGTGATTCCGGATTTGGGATTTTTCCGGATAATAAATCATCAATTTAAATTTGGTAAGATGGCATACAGGAATTATACAATTAAAAATATGAAATCGTAATTTATGAAATAAAGAACAATTATGATCTAAAGGGCATCAAAATTTACAAAAGAAAGCTTAATATTTATTTGTTTACTTTATTAAACATTTCTTTCAATGTAAGTTGTTTAAGATGCTTCCACAAAAAATTCAAAAAGTTCCTTTTTCTTTTTTCTTGTGTCGTATACAGTGGACTTTCCAATGCCATACTCCTTGCATAATTTTGAGATGGATATTCCTTTATCCATTTTTTTCTGCAATTCCACTTTTTGTTTAATGGGCATCGAAACATAATTTTGCTTTATAGATCCTTTGGCAACTCCCGAATTGTAAACTCTTTTCGACATAATCGAAAGTTCAAGCTTAGTTTTTATAAAATTGCCGTAATGATAACAGTCTGCAAAAAATAATAGCTGGATCAAATTAGAAGATCAGGGAGCAGCGCAGTCTGCTACATTGATTGAAATGAATCAGTAAAGATAATTTTAGCCTAACTTAATAACGTCCATTATACATTATTGGCTGTGTATCACAAGATTGGCGACGAAAGCCAAGTAGTTTCGCTAAATTTTGTCTTGCTCCTATTGTGTACTGAATTAAGCCTGAATTGTATTTAGTTATTTACTATACCTATGTTTAGTTCTTGCACATAGCTTCAAACTAATCCGAGTCCTGAATAAATAAACTCCCACATATACTTAACCCTTTCCGGCGCAATGTGTTCGGTGTGAACACACCAAAAATATTCCCTCTTTAGACACTGAAACTAATTGATAAATATCACGAAAACTAAACTAATGGTTACTTTTAATCTCTTTTATGAATAATAGATGGCAGCACCACACAAGCAAATCATTAACTTTGAGATATATTCTGTTTTTAAAGATGCTGGTTTTTCAAAGAAATGTTTCAGTTTTTTTTTAATGTAAAGAATATTAATGAAAAAAATCTATATGTAATTTTGTTGTTCGTATTCTAATCTGCCTATTCTGTATGACTTTTAATTTTTATCTTTGAAATATTGCGTATAGTGAAACCTTCAGTATATGGTGTGTTCGGACTGAACACATTGTACTGGTAGTGCCTGTCACGCAGTAAGTCGCAGAATCTGGTTTCGTGCTTCAAACATGCGGGAGGCTGAAAGCGCAGATTTATTTATGTTTGTTTTTATTCTTTTCTGTTTTTGGTTTTGAAGACCCTGGTGCTTTGTTTTCACTTAGCTATTTGATTTTCAGTGAGAGCAGACCCTATTTTTCTCTTGCTTTCATCATGTGTAGTGTGCTTAGTTTTGATTTCTGTAGATTTTTATTTGTATATATATTTAATAGTTATTTTTTCTAGTCAATAATTAATTGTAAATATTATACTATTTTAATTATTTTTCTTATAAATTTTAAAATTGTGTAAATGGCTCGGAGAGGCCTCAGCATTGCTGAAGCAATGAGAGTTTCCTTTTTTCCCCCGGTTTTTTTTGGGGGGGGTTTGTAGAGTAGCAGGCCTTCTCATGTTGCACCCTGGGTTATGCTAAATCTGCTACAGAGATCAGATTCTACTGTTTTTAAATCATACACAAAGTATTTTACTGTAATACAGGTTTCACAGCAATGCTCACCTATCGCAACTTTTGCGGCTCAGTGTGTTCGCTTCGGACACACCCACAAAATGGAAACGGCTAGTGCTATCTTTGTAAATTTATACCTGCATACTCTCCTAGGCCTAAATAGACTGCCTACAATTTTTTTTTTTTTTTTTTTGGTAAAATTCCAACTTTAGAGTAGTGTGCCGGAAAGGTTTAGGGCTTTATCTAGGGCCGGCACTCGAAACCGCCTGGTGCAGTCTCTTCGGGTCCTAAATTCTAAATTTTAACCTTGCCTAAACTTTGGATCCCAGTGCCTTCCCTAAATCGTAAATACTTCTCATTCCTTAATTTTGCCACTCGGTGCTTCCCCAAATTCCGAAAATTTCGCCTTCCCTAAATTCTGCTGTCTGATGCTGACATATTCTGCCGCCGCTTCTGAGTTTATGGTGAATAACATATTAGTTATTCTTAATTAAAATAGCACTAAATGTAATTTTATAGTAATAAAAGTCCCAGGTAGTAACCTTTATCGCCTCCAAAATGTCGCCAAACTACCAGTTACCATATTGTAAAGATCAACCGATTTTTTCTTCCATAATAAAACATGGGAAGATTTTCACTTAAAAATTCCGTTTCTTAATTTCACTTAGGCTATAATATATAATATATAATTTCACTATAAATAGTAATAGCACTAAATGTAATGCCTATGAGTTTCATTAACAAAATTTATTTTTAGTATATGAAAAGAAATTTTTGTTGAATTTTTCCTCGTCAACATTTCTTAGAGCATTTAAAAATCTATAATCATCGCCAAGCGTAATGTTAGTATAAAAGGTTGCCATACTCTTGTTATTCATTTGCTAATATAAAAAAAATGGGTACTTTTCCGTTTCGCCGGCGCAAATCTCGCCAAGCAGACTTTGTTGGCGACAACATACAGTATACACATAAAAAATGTTAATTCAAAGAATTTTTTTTTATTTTGAAGGCATAAACATTTTAATATGGTTTAAAATTTTGTAAAAAGCCAAAAATAATAAAGACAATAAATTTGAAAAAAAAAGACATTAATTTAAGAAATTTACTATGATTTCATGGTTCAATATCCTGATTCGCCGGTTCGTATCACGTGACCTAAAGTGATCTCATCTCACGTAAACTACGCTACTAAAAATCTTAATTCTGTCAGGAATTATCTACATTAATTTCAAGTTAAATCTTTAATTTTGGAATACAAGTTTAAATGCAAGAATTATTTTAATTCGTACGAATAGCTTACTTCAGAAATTATGTAAAACCTCAGTGCTTTACTTCCCTAGTGCAATTCTCATTAGGAATTGATGACATTTAACACTGGATTTTGCCTTTTCGGTACATTTTTGCGGTGTAATTGTGGGTGAGCTAATGTGATTTAGAATTCTAATTGACTTAGAACTAATTGACTTATTACCGTGAATTGTCTTAGGGGATAAAATTTAAATATCGTGTAAAAATTCTATATTATTGTATGAAAATTTATACCTTTTGTATGTAAATTTATACCATTGTATGAAAATTTATATTCATACAATGGTATAAATTCTATATTATTGTATGAAAATTTATACCAGTATTGAAAGAAACAATCTGATAAGAAATGGCTTCAACTTGTTTTGAAACTGAGGCGTGAAAGGTAGCCAACAAAGATATTCCGTCTGGCATCAGTTAAACCATTATTGGCGACTTTATCGTTTGCGCCGTCAAAACGGAAAAGTACCAAAAAATGTTTAGACGTCACAGCATGAGTTATTGCTGAAGCTGTCATGTATTGATAAACATGTGGTGATGAAAGCAAAATATAATAAATAATGACTCACCTGGTCGGCGTCAAGGATATAAAATAGGTAAATGTTTCCGTTTGAGATGTATGACAAATAGATACTCAGCTATGGAGCCAAATTATTAATCTCACAAATTTATGCTTACATGATTGTTTTTCAATAACGAGATATATTATTTAGCGCCTAAGTGAAATTAAGAAACGGAATTTTTAAGTGAAAATCTTCACATGTTTTATTATGGAAGAAAAAATCGGTTGATCTTTACAATATGGTAACTGGTAGTTTGGCGACATTTTGGAGGCGATAAAGGTTACTACCTGGGACTTTGGTAATAATGTGAGCAGTACTCAGTTCCGATTACGCATTATTTTGCGTGAGGGAAATGAGAGATCATGGGATATGTCATGTGATATTAATGGACGAATTACGGTTCTTTAATCGGAAAAGGGGGGGAGGGAAATCGGGAAAAAAATGTGGAAGGAAATTTTGTATTTAGCTTTATTCTGTGTTGTGTGAAACAGTGTTGTTTAATTTTTGGATCCCATGGCCCTAACTAAAGTGAATTCGAAATGGGTATTTAGGCATTGTGATAAAGAGAAGTTTGCTTTTTATTTAGCGGAGGAAGTATGGAGGAAAAATTCGCAGAAAAAATCTTTCAATAATTTTATTGAATGAATTAGAAAAGTGTATCCGCCACGTAATCAAGATTCTGAAGAAGTTAGTATTTTTAATTATTTGAGGATATTATTTTTATGCATTGTTCTAATGTAAGGTGGAAATGAATTTGGTATTATTGGGAAAATTGTTATTAGCAATGATTTAGTTTAAAGTAATTAGGATTGTAAGGTAATTTTTTATTAATTAATGTATGTGCTCATTTATATTTTAAGTAGTGTTTTTGAATGTAATTATATTTTAATGAAATG